AAAAAAAAAGAATTACATGAGCCATTATTGAAGGCGGTATATACTACTACAAACTAAAATCTGTGTAGACCATAATCGAGTTTTTAACTTACCAGATGCCGCAACTTCTGCTACCGGTCTTTGCTGTTCGTGCGCCATAAAACCCACAACCGAAAAGATCACGAATCCAGCAAACATGCTTGTACTTGAGTTAACTGTGCATACAATTAACGCATCCCTTTAAAAGTAATACATTAGCTGTTATATTTATTTTCTACATAGTCAATAACCGATTTACTTATAGACGTTATTAGTAAATTTGTTATCACTGCCAAGGGCAACTAAGGTCCCAAGGCCTAGACCGTAGGAAAAGAACATTTGGGTAACGGCATCGATCCATACCTACAATAGTTAATATATAATTATTTAATTGGTTAAAAATATTTTTCTTAGATAGCATTACTTCTGATTCCGTAAGTTTGGAAAAGTTTGGTATCACATAGAATTTTATCCCCTCAAAAGCTCCTGGCAGTGTTATACCACGGATAAGCAGTATAGTCAACAAAACATATGGAAATAGAGCAGTGAAGTAAACAACCTTGCCCGTCCATTTGACTCCCTTCCAAATACAGAAGTAACACAAAATCCATACAAGTAAAAGGGTCCCAGCCAATTCCCAGCGGATTTTGCCAATATGTTCAATGCCATCAGATATTTGAAGAACGCGTCGCCTACACGAATAGCGTAAACACAGTAATACATGTACATATATCAAAAAACGTAGATATAGTGAACTATCAAGTTAGTAATAATATCAGTCATTATGCAGAAAGTATACCCAAAAGGAGGCACGATGTACCTCTGCCATTCGATAGGTCACAGTTCGAGTCTTGTTGCGACCAATGAACAAAAACTATAGGAAATCAATTTAAATAAAAAAGGAAGTTAAGTCTTCTAATTGCGGTCGACCCTCGGCAAGGAATGCCAAACCCCAATTCAAAGCGCCAATTATATATACATATACACCCAACGTAATAATTAATTATTTAGGTAAATTTTCTAATTGCTGTCGCCCCTCGCAGGGACATGAAATAAAGGCTCATCGTGAAAAAACCATCAGCCGTTCAGGGGCGGCTTAGTATAAACTATAGATTCCTCCGTTTATTGTTGAAACATCAAGACGCAAAACCACGAATTGGAGGAGGAGCTCGGCTGAAAAATGCTTCAGCGGTGACAAAGCGATGTAAATATAAATTCATATATTGTGTATATATATACGCTCAAAAGGAAGAGGATAATGGAATATTGAACCCGATATGAACAATTCCAGCCGCTAGAAATTTTTTTTTCAATTATCGTGTAAGTAAATTATTTTTAATGTATAACTCAGCGATTCCTACCCAGCAATATTCTTCTAACAGTTTTCAACTTAAACAAAACTTTCTTTTTATGTATTTATAATACACTATTATATGCGCAGTTTACAAAGTATCTAATGTTTTTTGTCAAGTTAAAAATTTTTGGCCCCTACCCAAATTCAGGAAATTTATGTGATATCCCTCAAAAGCACACTCTAAAAATTTGAACTAGGACAGTAGTCTCATATTTAGTTAATGAATTTTTAAATATTGCCAAACTGCGCTAAGCCTGAATAAAATAGTTACCGAACGATCGGTCGAACGTAATTTTCGCTATTTTTTAACACACCTCGTATGTGTCTCCATATGCTTTTTTCATTAAAACCGAAGAGTATTTAATTATGGAAATTGACCACTTTCGTTCATTCTTAGAAAATGCAGAGATTTAAAAATCGTTGGAATATATGGCTATGCAAGCCTTAACTTACTCCCAAAACTCTTTCACTGGATCCGTGAGATCTGAAGCGGAAACGTTTGCCACAGTTAGTGAACAAATTTTTTTTAAAGTTCCATTGATAGATTTATTCCAACAATGTAAGTCGTTACGCTCATATGGATTGACACAATTCACAGTATTCCAGAAATTGTTACACGAACGCCAAGGCACATCTGAAAAAAGAAATATATAATGACAAGACTGTTAAGGACGAACAGACAATGGTAAACTATACTCTATCTTTCAAAAGTTATTAGTAGATTTTTTTTATTTGTATAAAATATAAAGGGTGGTCTATTTCGAGGTTCCCTCGAAACACAAACATCGTTTCCATGATGGAACGCCAAACATTACCGAAAAATCAACATGTCAGCTTGACACGACTCACGTGCGATCTGTCAATAAAAATCTTGTTAAAAACGTCACTCTACTTGGATCACCCGCTATATATACGTTTTGACTTTTCCAGACATGTTTTTACCCTAACTTTACTAAGTAAGTTGCTACTTACTACTTACTTTACTGGCGTAAGCGATTACAACCTATTTACAACTGTGCGCCATTAGTATCTTCTTTTTGCTGTTTGGCGTCACCTGGTATTTCCAACGGAGTGGAGGTTTTCCTCTTCCTCTGCTCTCACCGGCGGGTACTGCATCGAAAACCGCTGAACTATGTCAATGTCGCCGCAGTCGACAGTCGTACAGCTCATCATTCCATCGTCAGCGGTATTCGCCTTTGCCCGCAAAGGACCATAAATCTTATGCAAAACCTTTCTCTCGAAAACTACTAACGCCGTCTCAGCGGAGACTGTCATCGTCCATGCTTCCGCACCATATAGCAGGACGGGAACGATGAGGGACTTGTAGAGCTCGGTTTTCGTTCGTCGGGAGAGGACTTCACCTTTCAATTGTCTTATCAGTCCAAAGTAGCACCTGTTGGCAAGAGTGATTCTGCGTTTGAATTCCAGGCTAGAATTGTTATTGGTGTTAATATTGGTTCCATGATAGAGGAAGTTATCTACGACTTCAAAGTTATGACTGTCAACAGTGACTTGGGAGATAAGTCGCGAATGCGATGACTGTTCGTTTGATGTCAGGAGATAATTCGTCTTGTCCTGGTTCACTACCAGACCCATTCGCCTCGCTTCTTTATCAAACCTGGAGAAAGCAGAACTAACGGTGCGGTTGTTGAGGCCGATAGTGTCAATAACATCGGCGTACTCCAGTAATTGTACACTATTATAGAAGGTTGTACCTTCTCTAATTAGGTCTGCAGCTCTTATTTTTCTCTCCATCATCAAATTAAAGAATTCGCATGACACAGAGTCACCCTGTCTGAAACTTTGTTAGGCATCGAACGGCTCAGAGAGGTCTTTCCCAATTCTGACTGCGTTTCTGGATTGCAGAAGTGTTCCCTCCCGAAAATTCGATTTTCTATGGGCATCAGTGGCTAGATCCCCTCTTTGAGTCCTATAAGAATCTGCTCTGGTCTCGAAACCTTTCATAAATCGTCGTCAAAGAATTTTTGCGCATTACCCTTGTCGGCCAGCTTCACATGGTCTTCATACGCACGCATCTCGGCCTCTTTTTTTTGTCTGCAGATGCGTCTTGCTTCCCTCTTTAGCTCTCGGTATCTATCCCATCCCGCACATGGTTGCGAGATAAGTTTGTGATTGTGATTGCATTTTTTCAACTTCGAACTTCCCTTGTGTTTGTTGACAAGCGTTTTTCGAAACACAGAAGCGCATGCGAACAGCAACATCTGAGTCAAAAAATTACGCTTTTTATTTATTAATGATCCAACTACTTTTGTTTATATGAGCCACTTCTTCCCTGTTCAAAGTCTTTCTTACGTACGAAAGATTTATTCTTATATCCACATTATGCTATTTATTTAATCTGTCCGTGATCCTTTTCTCTCAAAAAAAGCATTATTTATATTTCTAATAAATCAAAGTTTGTTCAAGGTTTCTTATCATTTTCCAAATTTCCAGGAAAAAAATTATTCCATTAAGTCATATCGTATGAAAACGTACATGTTACCGGGTCTTCTAGTTATTATTTTAATTATTCTATATATTATTATTTTCTATCTGTCTAATAATAATTATGACTTTTTTTGTCAGTTATCAATTAGTAAGCGTTAAAAGGTCAACGTTGAAGAGTAAATGAATAAGTAAAAACTTTAGTCGTTGACAGTATTTGCAATATGTTCTTACCTGCCCGCATGGACATGAAGAAATAAAACACAGCCCACGCCAGAATTACGATGTAGTAAACATTCATCCAACACGACATTACGGCAGCAGCATATCCGATACCTGCAACAGATGAATAAAGATATGTATATGTATGTACTCGTATAAGACAAATAATAAATAATTCTTTGATAACTTTGCAAAGGTTTTTTAGAAGAAGGTTTTACAGAGACAACGAGTGTGAACACTGCATGGAACGGTGAGGCAAACGAGATACATACACGTATGTAGATATATAGCGACAATTTCTCTAACTGGCGCTATACAACAACCATTATTGACACATAAGAGTAAGAATAATGGGTTTTCAACCATTTTTTAACTTCTGCATGACAAAATTTCAAAATGAAGCTTGCCGCTGCTTTAACGCTAAAAAAGGATATTTATATGCCGATTTTTATGAAAATCATTTCCATTTCTCTAAGCTATTAAAATTCAAAGTTGACAACAATAATAAAGCTACTTCAAATTAAAATGTGGTTTACTCATTGATACTGGAACTATTTATTTTATATTAACTGTACAGCGTTTACTAATTTCCCAAAGACTGCTCTCCATATAAACTGAATTTTTAATACAGCATTTCACTAAAAGCTAGAAAATGTTATCGACTACAATCAGAAAGACAAAATCAAACTTACCTTTGAATATAGGAGCTATTTTAAATACTCCTAGGCCACCAATTGTTAGCATCTGACCCAACGCTAGTTCCATAAAAAACATTGGTATACCGGCCAATATTAAAGTCATAAAGTATGGAATAAGGAATGCACCACCACCATTTTTGTAACATAAATATGGGAATCGCCAAACATTGCCTAGTCCAATAGCAAGACCGACAACCGATAAGATGAAATCTAGCTTGGATGACCATGAACCACGCTCTGGCAGGCCAGTCATTTGAACCTTATTGTGAGTTAATAAAAAACACTGTTAATTTTGAATAAACGCACTTTCTTAAAAATAAGATTTGCAAGACAATATACATACGTATCATATATAAACATCATAACCATAAGAAAAAAGCCCAATTCAAAATATAAAATTTTGGGAACGTATGTTGTCTCGTGATGTAACAAAAAGCAAATGACAAACTACTATTCGTGATTCAAGTCCCCATTGCTGAATGACCTTCCGTTTGATTAATATACATTTTCTGGATTGTTCAATTTCCTTAAATTCTATCAACTTACTTATTTGTAATTGTAAATTAAGAACGAGTTCAAACCAATTTAAAAAGTATTTTAAGAAGTCAACGACAACAAATCTAGTTATGGCCACTTACAGTTTTTAAATAATACAGTTTTACTATGTAAGCTTTAAGAAATAAATAAAAATAAAATAAGTTTTTGAGGCCAAATTAGAAAAAAATGGCTCTAGTTTTTATATGTTTACCCGTCATATTTTGTCTGCGTGTACTTAAGATTTTAAATGTATAAAATAAACAGATGGAGAACTCCAACTAGGAGTATATTACTTCTTAAATATACATAGATTTACGTTTTAGACCAAAGAGGAATTTACCTGTTGAGGCTCTTTCTTCAGCTTTGTTAAAAATTGTGATGATGGAGAATCAGAATTACTGAGTTTTGGCATTTCGATAGTTTCGACATGTTTCTTGCGAACTTGTGTATGAATCGTTTCAACGCCACTGTGACGTAAGGCGGAGCCATGGTTGTCGTCTTCGATATTGAAATCAGTATTGTTTGCCATTATAATAAAGCTTATAATTGTAATTGACTACTATCTCATCGAGTTATAAATATCTTTTGCTTTATTTGAAATTCATAATCCATAAATATATATACATATATATATATATATATATATATATATATATATATATATATATATATATATATATATATAGCGGGAGCTGACTTAGATGTTTAATTCTTAATATCTCTTATTATTTATTAAACGATCCAGCTTAAGAAATATGTCTGTAAGAAGTGGTGAAGGCAGGATAAAGGGGTTTAATGTTAAGGTACGAAAAATTTCGAATATGAAATAAGCACCCGCCTGCTGTAGTCGAGTGAATAGCGGATGATCATCGTTAAAGCAGCATCTAAACTATAACAAACGTTTACAAAATTTATTTGCTTTGGAGCACGAAATGGTCTCGTTTCGAAACTTGCATTCACAAAACCAAAAAATTTTATTCCAAATTGCTTGAATGCAGGATTTGGAAAACTACGCTCCCGCCAATAAAAACGAACTTTACAATGATCATTTCATTTTCCTATCAAAGAAATTTTCATACGTATCCTAAAAATGAGGAAATTTCAATCTGCATTCGTTCATTTGCGTATGCATATGTAAAAGAATTAAGCCAAAAAATCACCCCACGAGATTTTGGTACTTTGAAATACCTCGTTTATGTGCATATGCTAATAACTTTTGTTTTTTCAACAAAAGTAAAAAAAATTGCATAATCTACAATATAATATACTTGCTTTTTGCAATAGCAAGAATTTAAGCAACGCGGTCTTGAAGGTGGTTGACTTCAATTTCGATTTTCGCATTTTCGCCACAATATGTACGATTATTATTATATTTGGCAAAATCCGCTAAACTAATATGTATATTCGAGTGAGAAAAGTGTGAATTACTTTGAATCCGGAATGAGTACAAACTACCTTTTTTTTTTGAGAAAAGGGGGAGAGGGGTGAGGTGTTATCCTCTGTAGCGCGCGGGTGTTCTACCTTCGGATGTGTGGTCTTCCTTGTGCGTTTTTTTGGTTGTGTATGTTATGTTTGCTGTAGTTGTTGTTCTTTTGTTATATCATTGTGTATTGTGTTTTGTGTTTGTTTGTACTTTTTATTTAACTTTAAAAATTTTCGAGTTTTACTTATTTCTGTAAGCGCTAGCATTGCTCTAAAATCACTCAAATATGCTCTACGATCCCCCAACCCAACCTAACACTTTAGTAGAAAATACCACAATAGCATTCAAAGCAATCACGAGCCATTTCATCAACGCATCAAATGATTGCACGAAAGTGCCAAAATCACGAATTTAATGGAAGATCACTACAGGCTGACTCAATACTGCACATTCGTGCAGGCGTCCCAGAATGATTAAACGTGTACTAAACCTTTGTTTGATTTTCAAACAAACAAGCGAGATTTCTAAACCAACCAACAGCCAGCAAGCGGGGCAATGCAAACAGTATCGATTGTATTAACATATATAAAATTAATAATATTCTGTTTATAATATATAAATACAAAACAAAAAATTTAATTTCAAAATAAAAATCCTTGTATGCTTAAATAACGAATACGCGAGTGGATTTTAATTATAAAGGACTTACGAAGAAATCTTTGCGTAAACCACCATGTTCTAAAAACCGATCCAACATAAAGATTAGCAGCCTCAAGCCACTTCGAGATTGTGTAAAGCACGCATAAATTCACTAAAATTTTTAAAAAATTGGAAAATACCTGTATTAAATATTAAAAATTTGGAATGTATGGTGTAAATCATCCACATACGACAGAATCGTCAATAATGGTGTCTTCTAAGCCTGCGCCTTAAGTTTTGGTAAAGGCCTTCAGGAGTAATGATGAGGAAGATAACACAATGATGGAACAACTGAAGAGAAATATACCAAACGTATGTCTTACATGCATTTCTAGATCCCGCTCGATATTAACCACCTCTTTGCCTCTTAACCAACTCATCTTAAACTAAATTCCCTACAGCTTATCTATCGAAATATACCGTTTGTTTGTTTCAGCAAGATGAGCTCGAACAAAATTCTGCAACGAAAGCATAAAAACAGATTCTCATTTCTCTTCCCATGGATTGGAATTAAAGCTTTTTTTGTATTCTTACTCCTTCAAATTTTTAAAGTTTTGCATATTACTGGTTATGATAGCATTAATTTTGAATGTAACTTTAAAATTGCGTTCGCCTCAGTAAAACTTTTTATTTATAGATGATTTCGAAAAGACTTATCTTCGATTAACTACTTTACTGAATACCCAAGACGAAAAATCGACGTTTCGAAAGAAGAAACAAAAACGGAGATTGGTGGCTACCTTCAAATAGTTCTAAGAAAACACATATCAAATCTGAAATTGCGATTTCATGCACCATATAAAGTGGTAACGATCTTGAATTTTAACCTTTGATAATAAAATAATTACAAATATTTTGGCTATGCATTCAAACTATTTTCTACTTCACTAATTTTGATATTTGATTCACTATGGCTTTATCAACTTTATAACCATGTTCTCGATAAGCATACATTTACGTAGGTCTGTCAGCGAACTCAGAAGGAAGTTCGATTTTTTTATTTTGATGTATTTACTGTATTTAATTAAATTTTTTTAATATTATTCTAACATCACTTTTCTTTATATATATACAATTATTTACAGAGTGTTTTCTACTTCGGAAGGACGAAATGCATTTAGTTTCGTCTGCGCAGCGTATCCGTTGTTATCACCGTTTTTGTTACCCACAAAGAAGTTAAATAAATGTTGGTGATGCGCTTTTATAATACTCCCCTTTCGCGGTCGTTTATAAAATAACAAGAACTATATAATAGTACAAAGTCATTTTATGTTATCCGTTCTATATTCATCCAAAGTGAATGTGAAATATTTAATTAACTTTGTAGCTTTTGTGATCTTATTTGAATTTATTACCATTTTGGTGAATTAATATTATTTCCCTCATTCTAAAACTTTGATTTAACTATGATCCCCTTTCAAATTGTCTTTTGTCTACAAATATGTATGTAGGTATGTGTGTACACGGTCCACTAGCATAAATTTTTAAGGGGACACATCTAAAAGCTATTTAATTAAATGAAAATTCTTACCTCCACAATAATTTACCAAAGATCTTAAAAAGTGAAATGCTATCGAAACATAAATCGCTTTGTTCTTAATTAATGCCATGTTTAAATACATAACAATATTTTAACGCAGTTTAATTTTTTCCACGCTCTGTGAAAAAATGCTTGTCGAGTTAAGTCACTTTTTCAGTTAATGATCGATGGGTACTGTGAATGCTGTGATTTGAAAATTGGACAATCTGCTTGCATTATTATTAAATTACTAGCATATATATAATTGGCGCTTTGTAACCGCAGATGCGATTTTTGCCAGTGCTTTTCCTATAATTCTTGTAGTGCGTTTTATTAAAACAAGAGGAGACTTTATTTCATATCAGAAATACACTTGCAGGGATTGACATGCGCCGGGGCTATATAATTAAAAAACTTAGAACAGTTTTTGATTAAATCCTTTTTCTATAATACTGGATCCAGCACTCGAACCCTGGCCTTCCAAATGGTAGTACGCACTGCTAAGCCCTTATCTATTGCGGCCACGTAATTTCTTGTATACACTAGTAATACTGTATATCCGTGTATAATGCGCATATGCGCACGGACAAAGGAGTGTCCATAATTAACTATACACTTATTATATTTTTTTATTGGCAATCAAATATTATCTTTGGTGAAAATTGGTAAAAGAAATTCATATGTTAGCTATTGTTAGATAATACCCGACAAGTTATGAGTGCCAACAGATAACAGTGAAATGGGAGTCAAGCCGTAAGTGCGCTGACTGTTTGTTTGAAGACTGGAGATATTTCGTGTTGTCCTCGTCCACTACCTGGCCTTTTCACTTTGCTTATATGTCAACTTAAGAGAGGAGAACTAACCGCTTGTTAGGACCCATGATATCAATGTCATCGGCATACGACAGCAGTTGAAAAATATATATTTTGTTTTAATAAATTTTTATTGAATCTTTCCTTTGGGGAAGCTAACAATAATTCTTATTCCTGGAACAAGTTAATCATTACCTCTGTATAGATTAACAAAGTAAGCAAAGCACAATATATTACGAATATAACTTAGATTTCTCACAGAATATGTTAATATAGATATCATTAGGGATACCAAACACTCATGTTTAAAATTTAACAAAAGATATATCATAAAGGATATATGCGGAGCTCAACTTCGATGTAGAATAATTGGATGCAGCAGGGCTCTGCCGTAAATCTTTTCTCTTTAATTGCTTAGGGTAGTTCTGCTGTAATAACTTTTTAGCTAGAAAGTTTAGGTGGTTAGATAACCTTAATAAGTAATTTTTAAGCAGTTTCTCTATTTCCTCGGTGACGGTTTTAATTCCGAGATCGTTGTGTATTGTGGAGTTTTTTTTACCAAGGGGCTTTGTATATTGATCTTAAGGTTTTAGGCTGCAGTCTTTGAATTGTATCTAGGCTAGATTTAGATGGTGAGCCCGAAATATGGATTCCATACGTCCAAGATGGCTTTGTAAGCCAATTAAAAAGTAAAACTTTGTTTCTAGACTTTGTTTGGACTTAGAGCCTACAATCCATTGCAAGTCCGCAATTTTTAATTTGGTTTGAGTAATCTTTTTGTCTATGTGGTTTATCTGGTGGTGGTGAGTCTTTTATCCAATGTTACTCCCAGGTAGGTAACGAATTTATTCTGAGGTAATGTATTCCCATTTATAGCGATCGAAGGGCATGTGTCTTATTTCGGGGTAAATGTTACTTGTATACACTTAGACTCATTGACTGTGATTCTTCAAGTCGTTAGACACTCTTCTATTACTTTTAAATGTTCTTGTAATATGTAACTGGCTGTCATGGGGTTTGAATGGACACTAGTATAGCTGTAGGAAGATCGTTCGTATTAATTAAATGTAAGACGGGCCCTAAAAGACTTCCTTGTGGAACACCAGCAAATATTTCATAAGATTCAGTGGTGTAACTTTTTTGCATAATACGAAATTTTCTGCCAATAAGAGAGCTAAGGCATCATAAATTTTTACGAGAAGTGTACCTTTCAGCTTGCATAATAGACCATCTAATCAAACTTTTTCAAATGCCTGATCAACATAGAGGAACACTGCAGTACAATATTGTTTGTTTCCAAACGCTGATCTAATATGTGGTACGATTCTATGCACCCGCTATATTAAGCTGTGTTTTTCTCTTAACCCGCGTTGGTGGCATGGTATGGTCAGCTTCGATTCTAAAACCGGTATTATTTCTTTAATAAAAGTTTTCGAAGAAATTTGAGAATACCGTATTAAGCTTATAGGCCTGTAGGAGCCCACCAAAGATGGATCTTTAAATGGTTTTGGGATCATAATAATCCCCGAAAACTTCCAGGATTTAGGAAAATAGCATTCTCTCAATATGCTATTATATATACAAAGCATGTGTTTAATGCAACATAGACAAGGCGAGTGACCAGATAAAAAGGATTTTGCGCTCACTTGTGCTCTACTGATATCACAAGTTACTTCAAAGTAAATCAAATCTGTAATCACCTGTTACTAGGAACTGTTTACCTAGTTTAGGAAAGAAATCAGTAAATTGAGTTTCTGATATGTTGTATCGGGGCGGACAATATATGGCGGAAATGTTTATTCCACCAAAATTATCATATATTTGAACTGAGGTAGCGCGAAGGTAGTTTTCACTGTATTCTTCCATTATATAATGTTTAATTTATTGCCCGGTAAGTATTCCAGTTCCACCGCGCACTTCCCATCAGGATTTTTGTTGTCATAAAACAAAAATGTGTCAATATTGAAGTTGTTATATATCTATTACTTGATTTTCTAAGATGAGTTGAAGTTCATTTTTGTGTCGGACCAAGCCATTGGCGTTCCAATAACATATCCTAAGGTCGTTCAGGGCTTAGACAAAATCGCTTGAAGGAGGAGATTTTGATTTCGAATTAAATCTTGCATCATACTTTACATAGATGTCATATACTCTTGCATCATACGTAAAAAGTTGTTAAGCGTATTTTCAAGTGGGTTAACCGACGGAACGGACGGGATGGCCCTTTCTTGCGTTGGGAGCTGAGGTAACTTTTGAATATTGTTACGGTTTCGCTGAATCAACCTCGATGATTTTCTGAATCCTTCGGGTACGATCTCTGAATTGTTAAATAAAAAATCGCCAACTTAATTTGCAGTTTCTTTCGTTATAAAGATTTTATCTATTGTCCTTTATTTACTCAGTAATTCACAATTCAATTACAATGCACTTTACTCGTTACAATCACTAGTATAAAACTTTCACAATTTACTTAACTTAATTGTAATCTCCAACGCGTTTACTTTACGACTCAATATAAACAAATAGTTTATTCTGCTATACTCTATACTGATGTTGTCGACAGCGAGTTCACTTTGTAGCTTACTCCTTGGCAGCTGAGTGTCGCCCTTATATAGCAGTCGGCTGCTCGTAGACGAAAGGTAGAATAATCGAGTTGTTCGATATCGAAGGTTCTCGTTTTATCGCTCTAGAATGTACAAGTTATCGGCTTCTCTCTTTCATCTGACATTCGCCTCGCATTTAAACTAATATGTATATTCCAGTGAGAAAAGTGTGACTTACTTTGACTCCGGAATAAGTACAAGCTACCTTTGGGGGGGAGGGGTGTGGTGTTATCCTCTGTAGCGCGCGGGTGTTCTACCTTCGGATGTGTGGTCTTCCTTCTGCGTTTTTTGGGTTGTGTATGTTATGTTTGCTGTAGTTGTTGTTCTTTTGTTATATCATTGTGTATTGCTTTCTATGTTTGTTTTTACTTTTTATTTAATTTTAAAAATTTTCGATTTCTACTTATTTCTGTAAACGCTAGCATAGGTTTTTTTGTGTATAATTATGTGCGTGTATGTATGTATGTAATTTTTTTATA